GGGCGCGGCTTCTCTCCCCCTCACCGCTCCTCCATCCTGACAGCAGGCAGCGCTCCCTCCTGCGTCCCCCCCCTCCCTAGAAGGATGGCCAGCGCCCAGCGGTGAGGGGGAGAGAAGCCGCGTCCAGGACGAGCTGTGTCGACCGCACGGCGCCCTTGTTGCCATGGCGCCCTGTGCGTTCGCACGGCTCGCACACCCCTAAGGCCGGCCCTGGATATTGGATGAGAAGGCATGGCTCTCCATTGGCATTCCAATTCATCTCAAAGGTGTTCAGTAGGGTTGAGGTCAGGGTTCTGTGCAGGCCACTTGAAATCCACCACACCCATCAAACCATGTCTTTATGGAGCTGGCTTTGTACACAGGGGCCCAGTCAGTGGAACTATTCATTTGGCAGAGCACAATTGTCTAAATGTCTTTGTATGCTATAGCATTGGCAGTACCCTTCACTGGTTATTCCTGAACTTTTGAGGGTGTCCACATACTCTTGGAAAAGAACCATCTGCGCTTCCCATAGCAAACAAACAAATTCTCCTCTTTCCTCCCAGTAGAGGGTAAGCTGAGATGGAGAGAATCTGATCAGATGCATTGGTAAATAAGACCATAATTTGGGGCTTATTGAGTCAAAGTCCATTTTTGATGGTCCTTAAGCTCCAGCAACAAATCACATCAGCTTACTGTAGTCAGCAGACTAAAGAGAAGATAGGTGGTTGCTATTGGTTCATTCATTTGGAACTTTGGGGCTCAGCTGTACCTTTTTCTAACTTCATAAATCCAATTGTTTTTACAATGTTAATCCTCAAGCCATTTGGAACTGAAGACGAGGGACGCTGGATGAGGTGTCAACAGTTACTATTATTGCTGCTATTGTTTATTAAAGCGTCTTCCAGAGTTCTGTGCTAAATGAGGACATGCAGGTCTCCAACAGTAAGAAGAGCTTACAGCAGAGGGCAAGTGAGGTGGTTTAATTGGCCATTTAAATGAATCTGGATCTGGCGTCATGTAGCCAATTGTGCTGTGATTACTCCAATCCTAATTGTCATGATTCATTCAGCGCACTAATCCCAGTTACCAGCAACTGTGCGTTGTGCAAATCTAGGTGGAGCATGTGCATCTGATAATGGCTGAAATGTGGAAAGTACAATTTGTCCGCAAGTGGCCATTTTCTCCATTCCTATATTTGTTCTATATATTATGTGTTATCCCCCTGACAACAGACTGTAATAATGGTCATTTAAAAGGGAACACTGCAAAACCATATATGCATCTAAACTGACTATATAACTTGTCCTTGGTGCTTTTTCAGATACAAACCTGAGTGTAAAAAATAATAATAATATTATATGGGGTTTTCACTGCCACCAGGACCATACAAATGGAGGAAGTAAATCAATTTGGATTGTCATAGTTGTCAGTAATGGATGCAAGCTACCAATGAATGAGAGCAGACACAGACTCGGAAGGCTATTTGGTTTAATAGATTAAAATAATTTGCACATTACCTGCCCTCCCAGGGATAGATTTAATAGTTTGGGTCTCAAAGATATATATAATTAGGGCTGGTAATGATTAAAATTTTTGTGTTCGATTAATCAAAAAATGTTTTAATTGATTAATTTCGATTAATTATAATGCACATACAGATCCAACTACATTGGCCTATACACATAAAGCACAGCAATGAAGTAATAAAATTAACTAGGATCACACTAATCCAGCACGTTATTAATCTCAGGTGGGGCAACTCAGAATAATAACGTGCTGGATTAGTGTGATCCTAGTTCATTGTATGATTTCATTGCTGTGCTGTATGTGTATAGGCCAATGCCTTGGCTGGCGCTCGTGCAGAGTTTAAAAAAAAAATTAATCGATCAAAAAGATTAACGATTAATCGAGAAATTAATTGTTAATTTGCACAGCCCTAATACAGGTGAAACTCGAATAATTAGAATATCGTGCAAAAGTAATTGCAGTAAGTGCTGCAAAAGGGGCCCAAACCAAGTACTGAGTACATATGCATGCTTGTACTTTTCAGAGGTCCGATATTGTTCTATGTACAATCCTTGTTTTATTGATTGCATGTAATATTCTACTTTTATGGAGGTATGAGTTTTGTTGCTATGAATCGAAAACATATGCAAATAAAGCCAAGTCATTTGCTCTGAATGCAAATACTACAAGTGTGCATAGGGCTCAGGCCTCCAGCACACAAGCCCATCTTCTGCTATTAATGGCAAGCAGTGACAGGTCTGCCCTGTTCTTGCTTAAATTGCCTACCAGCATGCAGGTCACTGTCATCTCTACTACAGGCGTATGTCTATTGCTATTGTGCTGGTGTGCTTGAACCAACTCCACTTATTACTGTTTAACTTCCTAAGGGTAACCCCAAGCAGGGCCGGGCCGAGGGGTAGGCAGAATAGGAGGTCACCTTGGGCGCTTTAGCGGAAGGGGGCTGCAAAAAGTGCAGGACCTGTAACCTATGCTGCTGAAGTAGCTCACAGCTCATGGAGGGGGCACACTTTTGGCCTTTTTGCCTTGGCTGCTAAAGGACCTAGCGAAAAGAATTTGCTATGTTCCTCGGCTCCATCTGGTGGTGGTAATGCCATGCGAACGCCAGTCGCCCAGCTTCATGCTGGTGCAGAAGATTTATACATCAGCCCCCATGTGTGATTTCAGAAGAACAGCTGTGCAGGTTTCAGGGTCCTGATTTCTTAGTCGTATGTCTGTGAAAAAATTCTAAATATTAGGCGCTATGTGGCCATTCCTCCTGCCAAACATGTTATAGCTGTCAGTGGTGGGTTCAGGCTCAGCATAGCGCACACTGGCTCCCAGAAAAGGTTTACTTTGCTCCAATTCTAAACTCTGATAGGTCATCAAGATGCCCACAAGGCATTGTGGGATGTGAGCAATCACATAAGTGAGCTGCAACTTGCACCAAGCTCTGGGTTTGGGAACATCTCAGGCATGCAATCTCTCATTATCTTCACAAGCCTGCAAAAATACATTCCAGACATGTCACAATATACAGCTACAGTATCATTGTTCTACCTTTTATTATTAAAAAGCAGTCCTCAGTGACTTATTCTAGGCTGAGATATTTTATTCAGTCTCCTGTAGGCAGGAATAAACATTTCCTCAGTCTCCGCTCCTATTGTAGTCAGACTGTCCAAGGTAGCTTTGGTGCAAATCACAATCTCAGAGGCTGCAGCAGGGCCTGATCTGAGTCAGGCATTTGTGAACGCAGCCAAGAACTGCACAGACACCAGGATTTACATGATTGTGTCATCACTGAGCCGGCATCGCAGTCCAGGACGTAGATGATGACCCTCAATGGTAGCCGAACAAAGAAGGTGCCTTCCTTCTGGAGAGAGAAAAGCAAATGAAGATTTTGTCAGGGGGAGTACTGTTATCTCTATGAGAGGTAATAAATATATGGAAACGTTACACTGACACATTACTTGGCATGCATGCATGTAACATGAGTAAATATATCTGCTGTTAGGTCCGCTTTAGAAGGAAGTATAGGCACGTGTTTATATGCACTGGTACCTTGTGTTACTGCCCATCATCCCCCTATGTTATATCCCAATGTGTTTCCTAATCATCATCCCCCTATGTTATATCCCAATGTGTTTCCTAATCATCATCCCCCTATGTTATATCCCAATGTGTTTCCTAATCACACAGATTCCTTTAATAGGTTTTCCTTGTTATATCATTTATAACTTGTGATTTGTATAATCTTTGGAGCAATGTAGGACAATGTGGGTGGGTGGGGGATCACAAATCCATGTGTTTGTATGGGAGACGACATACTGGGTTTGTTTTATGTTACCTGTTGATTATGATTTTGTTTTGTATTTTCACATTGAAAACTGCAAACACTTCTAGAAAAACTGCTGATTTGTTTTATGTTTCAAAGATAATAGTAAGTAAATAGTGTTTTTTTAATAATGAACAGATGTCCCCTTCTCGTATCAAGGAGAATTTTCACTCCAGAAGTTCATATGGTTAAAGAAGAACTCCAGGAATAAAAAAAAGCTAACCCTTGCAGTGGGGGTACTCCCGTACTGTAGGGGTTAAGTGCTCGTTTAGTCTAGAGCCTTGGTTCTCAACTGGTGTGTTCGCGACTCCATGTTCAGTGGGTCACCGTAACCGTATGCCTTCTACTTTTCTAGGTGAGAGGCTCCACAGCCCCCCCCCCGTGCAGCACTGTCAGTTCTCACGCCAAGCAGCCATTCAAAATATGCTACCCGATGCCGAGAGTCAGTTTGAGGTGGGGTGGGATTGGGCTATGGCCATTCATACGTGCATTGCTTACAGCTCCCTCGTGTGTCCTGTACTGGTGCCTTTAGCGGAGTGACGTCACATTCTGGCTCCCGGAACCTCTACAGGGCACGCAAGGGGGCTGTACTAGCAATGCACATGAATGGAGCTACAGCACAGCAGCCCACACTGGACCCCAGGCTGAGGATGCACTCCAGTTCTCATAAGATAGGGAGACTGGTGTTGTATGTGAGACTGTCAGTGTTTTTGAGGGCCTGTTCACACTAGTACAGTGCGTTAATCGCACAGTCCCATTCTGGTGTGGGAGGTATGTTGCATTGCCATTCATTTGAATGGCACCCTAAATGCACCTCCCACCCACAGTTCGATCGCCCGCACTGGAACCCTCGGTACCATGACTTGGGTCATGACTTAACGACCAGTGACAAATGTGGGTCCTCAGGTTACACAGGTTGAGAACCACTGGTCTAGAAAACAAAAAGCAGATATACTCACCTGATATTTGGTCCCTTTTGGACTGCTAGACTGATCCCCGCAGCCTCTTCTCCCCCAGGCTCCGGAGTGGTCTATGCCCAGCTGATGTCATCAGCCCTAATGAAGGTCCATTGACTAATGCAGGTCTATTGACTTGCTGTAGATGTAAGGACGCCGAGGGACATACCACAGCTGGAGCGGAGGTATGCATTGACTGCTGCAGGACGGAGGATCAGGTGAGTAAATCTGCTTTATTTGGACCCCCTAGACAAAACGAACATTTAACCCTTGCAGTGCAGGGGTAGCACCACTACAGGGGTTAGCTTTTTTTTGTTTTATTGCCGAAGTTCTAAAAAGCCCAACTTCGGCCCAAACCTTTCTTTTTCAATTTTGAATAGCTTGTTGAATGGTTAAAACTCATTTGAGGATTTCATTGCTGTCACTCTACTCTCTCTGCTAATTCCTGTTCCAGTGACACAGAAGAATGGAGGGGAAATCTCCAGCAGTAGATATGTGACACTGGGCCTAATTTATTTTTTACGCTTAGCAATAAAGTATTATATGTATATAAAAGTTTAGGAGGAGTTCATCTCTGAAGAAGTAGCATTGCTAGTATATGAAATATGAATATGGTTTGCACATTGTAGAAAAAAAAGTCCAATATATTATGTATTAAAGCTGAGTTCTGGGCATCAAAACATACTTTTAAATATATATAACTCTCAATAGCCACAAAAGATTTAAATCTACTTTGTCTGCCCCAATTGCCTTTGTAGTCCTGGATATTACCTTGTAAAAATAACAGTGATTTAATTTCTGTGCTGTACATAAGAGATATGGGAGGGGTCCACAGGCTCCTCCCACCACAGGCTGACTGCAGAGAACTACAGGAGGGGTGGAGAGAAGACCAGTCACCCTGCACAAAAAGACAGAGCAGCAGTGACCAGTCTTTATTATAATTTATCTACTGGCTTATGCCTTTCATCGATGAGCTCCTGATTTCTATTTTCATCTGTCCACAAAGTTCCTGTTTACCAGCCTCCATAGATTTGTATCACAGGCTTCTTGGGGGGGGGGGGCGTTTTGTTTTTCACCGGCCAAAAAAAGTTTTCCAGCCCTCATAGATTTGTGTCCACGGGTTTTTGGGGGGGGGGGGACTTTTGTGTATCACCGGCTCCCCAGGGGTGGGTCATTCGGTATCTGAGAGTGGCGCTTTTAAACACATCTTTACCCGGAATTCTTTTTCTGTCTCTGTAATCACAAGGGAAGCGGAGAGTGACGCACTGCAAAGGTAGGATTGCCATGTTAGACTTGGTGCACGCACTAAATAGCACTGTTGCCAAGGTGATCAGAAACTGTTGTTCAATCCCGTTACTGTCACACTGTCCTGGAAAGGAGGCATTGAACCGCCTATTAACTGTAACCCTTCCGCTGGGTTTTGTATCCAGGGACAGAATGGTGACCTTTCCTTGTTTTTGAGGAAAAGAGAGAACACGGTGGGATTCTTCATATATTTCCAGTATATGAAAAAAAAAAAGCCCACCATTAAAAAATAATCATTCAACAATCTGGAAAATCTTGGCACTTGAGAGATTTCGCTTGTGCAGCCACGTGTATGTGTGATATAGTTGTGTGTAGACCAGTGGCAGCGCTTGTAGCTGGTAGCGTGCGCGGTTCTGTAGATAGAAACTAGTGTTCTTAGTAAATGTTTCTATAATAAATAATACACACTGACATCCACACGGCTTATTTCTCTCACCAGCTTATGGTTAAAATACAGCATTTCATGTTTGAGAATATTTATCATTAAAAATGACCGTCATTTGTCACCTGCCTGAGAAGCTTCACCCTTGCAGGCTCCAATATGGCGGCCACCTGGGTGCAGGGTTGCTGGTGCAAGTTTAAGGGAACCAATAGAGGGCTGCCATTGCTGTCATTGAATATGCTAGTTTTCCAGCTGTCTCTGGCTTCAGTACTTTTGAGTTACTTAAAAGAGAATTAAAGCCAACCTTTTTTTGGCTTTAGTCCTCTTTTGGGTCACAGGAGGACATTTGATTAATGTCCTCCTGTGACCCAAAGTCAACATCTAGCGGGCTACTGCCAGTTATTTGCTGACCGCGCAGGGCCGTGCATCAGTCGGGAAAGATCCTGACATTATTGTCAGGATCCACCCTGCTGTCTGATTGACAGCTGGTTCGGCCTTTCTAGAGCCAGAGCCATCTGTGCCCACCCCTCTAGAGAAACAGAGAGGGGAGGGGGGAATCCCTGCGGGCAGTGGTGAATGACAGTGAACGCTCTCTGCAGGGAGATGATGTGAGCTGAACGTTCAGCGGTTTGTGATTGCCCAGCTCTCGATTCGGGCTGCAGCTAACGATTATTTTACGAAGACATGTCCCCAAAGCAGAATTCCTTTTACCAGGCTGAGTGTCAATCTCACCTGGGCAACGTGGACATCTGCAGTGGTTCTGCGGGCACTCCAGCTCACCGGTGATGTTGGGACCCAGCTTCCTCATCGTACGGACCGGTGATGCTGGGACCTGGCCTCCTCCACATCCAGACCTGCAATGCTGGGACCCGGCCTCTTCCACCGGCCGACCATCTTCGCTGCTGGGTCCCCCCAACCATCATCCTTCTCCCGGCCAAGTCCTTCCCTGTCAGTGGGTGGCGGGAACCCCCAGCTTCTAGCCCTGGGGGCTGCACCCCTGGGGCTGTCCATGGCTCTGCCTGCGCCGGGAAGGAGAAGATAAAGAACCAGATAGGCACTGCCAAGGACAGCTATCTGCAGGTCCCCAGTAGCCTGCCGAGGTCCCCACAAGCGCGTGAACTCGGACAGCCGCTGCTGTTTAAACATTTAAAAGGCCAGTATAGGCCTTAAGAATTGGGGCATTTTTATGAGTACAAGTTCTCGTGAAAATGCCCTGTATCGCCCCTGATACCGATACTACTGTTGGTATCGGGACATCCCTAGTTAGAACCCTTGTCAGGTTCTTACTGCTTTCTGTTTCAGTCTTGGGGAGATTTGGGGGATGAAGACAACAGTAAAAACATGACAATGTTTCTATCCCCACTCTTCTAAATGATGTGTTTTTAGTAGATACAAACGGACAGCTCTTGAGCGGTTCCTGCTGCAGGGGAAATTTTCATTGATATGCATTTAAACAAATATTCCCTTTTATTTTTGAAGAGGATATGCACAGTTTTGCTACTTTTGGTAATCTCTGCACAACATTAAAGAACAAATAGAAAGCGCACCTGCATGTGACACCTTCAATAAAACTTTATTAAGCAATAATAATATCTGGTACTCACAGACATTCTTGGCAACATGTTATCAAATAAAATCCACCCAGAGGGTGGATTTTATTTCTGCCTCCGGAGGGTTGAGACCTGCTCAACCCTCCGGAGGCAGAAAATCCTGCTAGACAGCACACAGCTGAGCTGATGATATATGATGGGATGTGTTGCCGAGAACATTTTTGAGTACTAAAAATTATTATTCCTCAATAAAGTTTTATTGAAGGTGACACAGGACGCTGTTGTGCTTTCTGTTCTTTGCTCACAAACGTTCTTGGAAACGCATCTCATCATATATCATCCGCTCTGATGAACACTTTCTAAGGAGCAGATAAATTGTATCATGCCCTGATACCTAAAAGCATAGAATTCAAAGAGGGTGTACTTTCTTTTTCACACGACTGTATACAAAGTTCATATAATTCATATCCAACGGTATACAATATTAGTAGTCTCAGGGGCCACCATATAGAAATTGTTTTGACCTCCCCAATGTGTGGTTGTGAGGATGCTTTTTCCACCTGCTGCGACACTTCTGGGAAAAGGCGAGGGGCTTAGTTGGCATTGATGCCAAGACATAGATGTTTGGGTCGGAGGACCTGAAGGTTTCATTGAATTAAAGTGCAATTTAAGTAGAAATAAAACCTAGAAAATTACTTTATTGTAAATAAAATTTGATGTCATCTTCTTTTGGTCTCACTCTGCAGCCTGTTCCTGGAAAGATAAAAAAAAAACGTCCAGGAAGACGAGACAAGAGAGAGGGGGATCCCCGCTCCCCATGTCCACACATTGAGGCTGCCAGCAACACAATGGAGTGAATCTGTGCGAGATTCATTGCTACAGAACATGGGATGCTCTGTGTAATCCCGCGTTCTGATTGGTTAAGTGACTAGTCATAAGGACTCAGGAAATAAATTGGTGGTCAATACTTTATTTCCAGTTTCTGATAACCTATTTCAGGGGTGGGCAACTCCGTCCCTCCAGCTGTGTTTTCACTACAAATCCCAACGTGCCTCTGGGAGCCATGCCTGTAACGGTCAGTCTTGCAGGGGACTGGTAGTTCCACAACAATTGTAGGGACGGAGTTGCCTAACCCTGATTTCATTTGTATCCTAGAGCCCCGTTTTGGTAGATTTTCCCAAATTCTGGGAGCTCCCTGTAAAGCAACACAACCCTGCACAAAGATGAAATGCTGTATGTTAGCTTGTAGCTTTAATATATTTCTAATAGTGTTTTATGAATCCTTGACCGTCAGTTTTTACACCAACTGGTCTTAGTTAGAGTTGTAATAAAGTTTTGACTTTACATTATCGCTAATTATTGAAATGGTTACGCCTGAAGCTGATGCTAAAAAAACATTTATTTTAAAACTCCACACGTACGTATCTATAAAAGTTGACAAAATGCGTATTGAAGTTCATCTGTGGTCACTGATTCATTTGTATAGTATTGGCACTTTTTCCACCCTTTACAGAGAAGATTGAACCATTCACATCAGTCCTTGTGGCCAAAGGAGCTTACGATCTAAACTTTCTACTGCAGTCAATACACTGTCAGCTACATTTGGTTGAAGTAATTTAGCCCGCTATTATATTTCTGGACTGTGTCAGGAATCCTATGCAAAAATAAGGAAGAATATATAAACTTCATGTTGCACTTTGCCGTAGTCTTATGTGCCTGATGGCAAGCCCAATTTAGAGTGATGCTAAACTGAGTAATTAAATCTTAAAAATACATACAAGTACCCTAACTATTAACAAAAAAAAATTATCTTATTTGTGTATCACTCGGCCGCAGATCCTCCAATCATCTCTGAATTGGTGCTGACACTGTCCTTCCTTCTGGAGGGGGGCTACTTATGTTCCCCATGGTCCCTGTGTGTGTTGTAAAGTAGTCACCGCTCCAAGCTCACTCCCAGAATGGATTACACTCTCATGTTTAGTTCACTCACTTGTATTGAGATTGTAGTCCATCCCTGGGGCGGACTTGGAGCGGTGACTACTTCACAACACACAGGGACCATGGGGAACAAAAGTGGCCAGCGTTTGTATATGCGACCCTCGTTATAGAGACCCAATCCTTCAGGTACTGATGGGACGGGTTCAGTGTTCTCTGTAAAGTGCTACATTATGTCAGTGCTAAATAAATATTGTTGCTAACCTATAGCACAGAGTACACAGCTGGATTCTGGTTGCTATAGGCAACAATAGAATTTTCTTTGCAATTGTTTTGATAATGCACATTAATGTTACACATTGCCAGAGTCTCAAACATCCTGTCATTGTCAAGACGATGGCAGTATGTCAGTTTTGTACATCAACATTATGTTGCTTTGAAACACATGTATGTGTCTCTTCAGTGGAGTTTTAAAGTAAATTGTTTTAAGATTAGCTTTGTAGCATTTAAAGGGCAACTCGTCATAGAATGTGTTGGTGATGAAGATGAATGTAGCATGAAATTAGACTCATCTTTGATCTCCAAGTCAGTGGTTCCGGTTTTAGCAAATTGCATAGCACGCAGTTTGCTTTTCCAGGTTTTAGGTGTCAGATTTCCCCGTGGATTTCTTTGGGAGATCCAGGCACAGGCTGATGAGTGTCCAACGCTATTAGATATTAATTTGAGGAAACAGTTGCATGCTATACTCATCACAGTTTTCTATTGGTACAGACTTTGAGGAGTTGTCTTTTTAAGGGGTCAGTCCATCTGAAGCTGATATCTTGGTTATGTAGAGTCTGGTAGGATGAGTTGTCCCCAGGTTCTTGGATACCTCAATGGTGAGATCTCTCTGCTATGGCATTCCCAACTCTGTTTCCTGCCCACCTTTGTGGGTTCCAGCTTCTCCAGTTACATCCTTCATCCTATAAAATAAATAGGATTTCCAGCCAGGAGAGTGGAGTCCACAAGAGATGGAAGAAACTGTCAGTTGGGTGAACTCTCCAACATAAACCAATAGGGATGCACCGATACTCATAGTAGTATCGGGGCCGATGCCGAGTATTTTAGGCGCCGATCTCTAGCCCGATACCGGAACTTCCAGTATCAGGACGATGGGCAGCGAGTCATTCCACACTGCCCGGCTTCCTGATAGGCGCGGAAGCCGGCTCCATGCTCCCTCGCGCCTGGCTTCCTTAATGAGCCTTCCGGTATCGGTATTTGGTATCGGCGAGTACTGGAAAAAAAAAAATATCGGTACTCGATACCGAAAAACCGGTATCGGTGCATCCCTATACACCAATAAAATATCCGTTTTGGGTAGACTGACCTTTTAAGCATTCGTGCGAAAGTGTATTTTGTGAATAATTTGCTTAGCATCACATGAAATCGCCTGCAACACCCCTTGCACAATAAAGAGAACACTCTTATTTTTTGTTTTTGTTTATTCCGTTGAAATAGACCTTATGCCTCCCCCTCCTTTTTTTTTCTTTTTCTTTTTGTGGTTGTGTGCTGTGTTACGTAGTAACCGTGCAGGTGTTGATGGCTTCGCAACTGCTTGACGCCTATAAGAGCAAGGCCGAATCAGTTGACCAGCTCCAGGAACTGCCCAGTCCCGAGAGTGGGCAGTTTTCATTGGACAAGAACATGTCACTGCCGCTGACTAACAGTCCAAGCATTGCGTCCTTTCCCCGATCGCCCAGCTTCAAAAGCCCCAAGTCCCCCAGCAGCTACTTTCAGCTTTGCTATTAACTGTTTTCTTCTTTTTCTGCATGGTAACTTTTAGCTTTTACCTGTTTAGCTAAACATGATTTCTGATGTACTTCTGGACATGTATTGTGTTTTTTATTATTATAATTATTAGCCTCTTTCTTCTTTTAATAGGTTTGTACAATCTCTGTCATGTGGCATATACACCCAACATGTACAGCTGGGTCACTTTACCTAAAATTAAGGTTGACCGAAACTCGATTACTAAAATTGTACATACGCTTTAACATGTTAATGTCATTTCAGATGCTTTTTTTTTTAATCATAGGCATTTATATGGCGCCATCTTATTACGTAGCGCTTTACATACTGTACATTCACATCAGTCCTGCCCACATATCGCTTGACCGGGTCAATTTAGGCAGCAGTAAATAACTTACCAACATGTTTTTGGAGAAAACATATGGAAGCACAGATAGTGTCCTGATCGGGATTCAAACTTGGAACCCCAGTGCTATAAGGCAGAAGTGCTAACCACTTAGCATCATTAAAGTGCATCTAAAAGCGCCTGCGTGACCATCTAATGAGTTCCCAAATCCTGTTGCTATGTCATGCAAAAGCCTTACAAAAAATTATTATCTCCCCTGAGCCAAAGCCTTTTTATGCCTCACATGCTCCCCCCTTCCAGACACTGCAGCTCACATTGGGAGGGTTTCACCAGCAGAGGCAGTGTTCTCCATTCAGAAAGGAGTGGGCAGGACTAGGTGAGGCTAGCCGCTGATTGACAGCTATGGTCTGACAAATCAGCAGTGATAATGCTAATAGACACACCCCCAGCAACTTATCATCTTATCGTAGGGCAAGAAGTCCGAGCTTATGTAAGGGTGACAATGCTAATTCAAAAGCAGTGCAGCAGTGTTGTCACCTCATCATAGGAAGCTGCATGAGTTGGACATCTCTGGCAGGATCAACAGCTCTCTGTAAGTTGTACAAGGGTACTAATAAGTGCTGATACATTTACAGTGCTGCAGCACATTTGTTTACCATGGGGCTATAGTTTTAATTCAATATAGTACCAGGTGATTGAGCCATGAAGGTCCTTGTCCAGACACTTACTGTTATTGGATGACAACTGGTGTCCAATGGTGCAACCATGTTACCATTCTGTCACACGTGCTCCTGCTGTAGACTACAATTGACCGTGCTGATGCACATACTTTCAAGGCGCTTCGATTTGCCTTTCTTTATTTTAAATGGTACTTTGAGTTGTTGTTGCATTCACATTGACCTGTATGAGGAAGAAATGCAGCTTGGACTTAAAACAAAAAGGCCGTGTACGTGATCCCTAAGGTGATGGACGCAAGCTGGCTGAATCAGCCACCGGCATCCTCCGTCACTTATGCTGGCCATATGCATGGCAGTTTTGTTGCCATTTTCTGAAGTTTTGATTATAATCCAATGAACATGACACAGGCAGCTGCAAAGCTGCTGTCATAAATAATGGTATCAGCCTTTTGTTTTTGCAGTGTGGCTTGGGTGGGTGAATTACTACAGTGTTTCACAAACTATTTACATACAGCATATGTACTTCCATTGTGTTAGGCTGTTCGGCTGTAGTTCTACTATAATATAGATAGTAACATGTCCTACGAGCATACATTTGCACAGTGAACAGCTGTGGAACTTGACAGCGCTCTTATCTAAGTAAACAGGAGCTTGCATATGAAATCGCCAATTGTGTTCAGTCCTCTAGGATGTCATGGCTGCTGGCTTCAGGCTTGCAATGCCGGTGGACAGTGGTGTCCCTCCCTAGCATTTTTGCCATCTAAGGTGGGGGGGGGGGGGGGGATGGGGGCAACCGAGAGGA